GTATAATACTACGAGATCAGCACCCATGACACTATGCTGACTTAACTGTATTAGAGATAGGAGAATAGTATAAGTAGTAGTGCAAACCGGCAAACTTTGTCTTTTTACAACTAACTGTCGTGTACGAACATAGTTTTGTAATAAAGTCCGTAAATCTAAGAAATTGTTTTTTTTAAAAGTCTTCGCGCTCGGCAAAGCATAAAATTCGATGAAGCGTCACATAACTCGATAACTCGTGACAAAAATGTTTGGCGGGCCGCATAAGCATGTTTGCAAGCGACCCGCGGTCTGCCTGTTGCTCATCGCTGTTATAGGCAATTATTTCTTAAATTTTATCTTTTGTGGGTGCTGTTTAGTTAGTAAACGGCATAGGTATTGTTAACTTCGAACGCCAGGGGAGGACAAGCCAAATGACAAAGGACACAATGACCGCATTATCATTATACTAATCCACTAGGAAAAGCCGCACTCCCAGCCTTTAGAGACCCCAATAGATCCAGGTTTAGCTGAGAACGATACATATTTTTCAAACTATTATCTGATAAAAGTTCCTTCAAGGGTTCGGGATCGAGCAAAATTTGCCCGCTACCTTCACCTTGGCACATGAAATTCATTTCACATTTGAAAATCACTCACAGATAGGTTTGTAACGTTGACATGTCTGTCAACAACTGTCCGCTGGGATGCATGGTTGCCGTTGTGTTTTGTTTCATAAAAAAAAGAAAATCGAAATTTTTTCGACATAGAAATTGCGCCTAAATTTAAGCAACTACGTATTGGCTTTTTGGTTTTTGTTTGAATTATTAAATTAAATATTTTCCTGTATTTTGTATTATATGAATGCCCTGTGTAATCAAGTATTTTGGAAATTTTGGACATTTGTTTTTGATATGGGTCTTTAAAATGATTAAATCGGGAAGAGCATCAGCTTCTGACTGTAGTTTTTTCTGTTCTCTTTTTACTTTGCTACACTAGATATTGATAAAATTTTGTTTTTTCATTGTACACTTACTTTGCTTGCGGCAATCAAAGTAGCGAATATTTGAAACTAATCAGAGTAACGGATATTAACGAATACTTTTAAAGTAAGGACAAATAAACCACATTTTTTTATGAAATAAATTTCAAAAAAAAAATTAATTTGTCTGGGCCATACGAGTGGTTAGCAATAGATTAATCTTTTTTGGACAATTCACCTTACGTAATATTTTCTAATTCTTTGAGACATTTTTTTTATTAAAGGTGATTTTAGCAAAATAATTAAATGTTTGAAATGTTACATGAAAATTTGCTTATCGCTTCCTTTCATAAGCAATGTAAAATTTACTTTTTAAACAGTTGATTTATACGTCTTCAAGGAAAATCGGTACTTAATAATATGTAATTATAATTGTAAATAATAATATTATCAAAGCATTCGTTGTTCGTAGGACGACAGACGAATTGACAGTTCTCCAACCAATAGAAACACTTTCGTATCGTCGTACAAACAGATACATGGGACATGGACTTAAGAAATATAAGAAATAAGAGAAAGTTACAATCATATCGAAATTTATCATTCAAAATTGCCGCTTCGTTTTAATTTAGGGACGTAAACAGCTGGCAGAGAGCGCGCATAAGCGGTCACAGGTGTATGCATGGAGTTGTTACTTCTTGTTCAGAGGTGTTCTGTGCGCGCAACTGCAAGTGCGCAATGTCAAATTTCCCCACATCACGGACTAAATCTGGCAACGTCACATCACCTGACCGCCACTGTCATCTGTCATCTCCGTCGACAATTATTGTTTATCGTAGACATAGGTGTGTTGTGTAGTGTGCAATTAAGTACTGCAAATTATGTTTATTTAGTGCTGTTGGTGACTGTTTTTCTTTTGGGTTACTTTAGGTAAGTCCTATCATATTGAGCAGAATGGTAAACAAAAAATCTTTCGGTGACATTGACCTTGTAATTAGATTTTTATGGTACATTATAGATGCTGTTTTTTTGCCATTGTTATTGTTATTGGAAATTCATGAAATTGTTGACAAATTGGTCGTGCGCCTGCAAGAAACAGTTAAAGGAAAACCGTGTAAACCATGCGGGAAACCAGTATTTGAGTTACTCATCGGCATAAATTTTGTTTTAAAATTCGCCTTTAGTACTTCGAAGTTGGAATACTATCTACACAGTAAAGCATATATTTTATCACTTTATTTGCTTTGTTTAGTTACGATCAAAGATCAAAAAGTTTATGCAAGTCGCAGGAAAGTAGATTAACTGAACCTCGGTAATTTTGTCTAGTTGATAG